TATTAGAAAAAAATACGAGCATATAATCATCAACAGTGATTACAGTTTTGATTGCAGCACTGATGCAAATCCATATATTAAGATGACATTTACTGGGAATAACACTGCAGCATCATCTTGATACACTGACCCCCTAGGCAGGGAAAGTTACCTGGCAACTAAATAGATTTGTTGTACTTTTCTGTTCAGCACATAAAAACACAGATTTGCCCTCTAAAACTTGGCAATTTCTTCAATAACACTGATACTCAAAATAGGTTTCAAAGAGCAACGCAGCATGACAAGGTAAAAAATACTCTATCCTTTTGACAACTTATCAAATCTTTAACTAGACACTGTGGAAATATAAAAAACAAAACTGGAAGGTTTAATGGAGAATCCATACAAAATTAAGGTTACAAACTAGGAACTTGGTTCTGAGCATTTACTGAAATAAATGATGCAAAACTACTCTGTGACATGGTTGTCCTGAACCTGTGTAAATTAGGTCCAGGATATAAACTGCTCAGTTTGTAAGTATTTGCGATTGCACAGACTTTATACCACATTCTTCCTCAGGAAACCCAAGTTTAAATAGCAATGAGAGGCAAAAATAATACTTACAATTCTGTAACGTCTTCTAACACCATATCTGAAAGTTCTGTTTCAAGGAAAATAAGGCCCAGATTTCTTTTCATAGAATGACTTAGGTTGGAAAGGACCTTAAACCCCACTCAGTTTCCAATAAAGACCAACCCCCTACCATGGGCAGGCTGCCACCCACTAGATCATCCTGCCACAGGGCCCATCCAGCCTGACCTCGAACACCTCCAGGAACAGAAGCATCCATAGCTTCTCTGGGCAGCCTGTTGCCAGTGCCTCACTGGCAACAGTTTTTTCACTCAGTGAAAAAAAAATCCTCCCAACATCTAATCTAAATCTCCTCTCTTTAATTTAAAACCATCTCCCTTTTTCCCATCAGTATCAGACCATGTAAAAAGTCTCTCCTGCTTATAAGCTCCCTTCAAGTACTGGAAGGCCACAATGAGGTCTCCCCAGAGCCGTCTCTTCTCCAAGCTAAACAAGCCCAGTTCCCTCAACCTTTCTTCATAGGAAAGCTGCCCCAGCCCTCTGATCATCTTCATGTCTCTCCTCTGCAGCTGCTCCAACAACTCTGCATCCTCCCTGTGCTGGGGACCCCAGGCCTGGATGCAGTACTGCAGATGGGGCCTGACAAGGGCAGAGCAGAGATGGACCTTTACTTCTTTTTTATACTAAACTACAATTTTAGCTGCCAAAAGCCACAAACAAACAAAGAAAAAAAACCCCACAAACAAACAAAAACCTGATACCAAACAGCTTAATATAGTGAACCAAGTCTCCCCACGAAGTTGATACCCACAGATACAACACCCACCAAAGGATACTGACAAAGTCATCAAATCCCAGCAGCGTTCCGACGATTTCCTTATCGCTCTTCATCACGATATGGATGCGAGAACCTATGCATTTGTCCACAAGCTCTGTAGATTTAAAAACAACAACAAAAAGAAGCGCGTTAGTGCATTTACAGGAAACCAATCGACCCAGACGTGCCCTCCCGGGGGGGGGCCGAGCCACGGTACGACTCTCCAGCTCCCATCATCTCCGACCGACCGGGAGGGACGGCTCCCTCACAGCAACGCTACGCCCGGCGCACGTATTTCCTCAACGCGGGGGGGGGAACTAGTTTTGTTTCTCACTTGTAGATCCCGATTTACTCCCCGTTACGGCCTCCCCCACCTCGGTTACGACCCTCCTCCCTTCCCGCCCGACCCCGCCGGCAGCCCACCGAGCGGCAGGAGCTGCGACGGGTTGGTGCTCGCGTTGGCCGCCATATTGCCGCCAGACCTGAGCAATCGCTGCCGCCTCCCGCCGAAGTAGAAGCTGGGAAGGGCGGGACGCAGCCCTGAGTAGCGGCCGGCAGAGCCGTCGTTCACCCGCCTCCGCTCCCCCCTAATGAGCGTTTTTCCAGGTTTCCACATCTGCCTCCTATTTATTCCCAAGGAAGAGTACTCAGCTGAGCGACTTCCCATCTACAAAACTGTTTTTCAACGTAGTCACCACCGTTAGCTGTGCCATTTTCCCCGGCCAAGAGCAACAGCCTGCATGCTGTGCTCATCAGAATCTGCCCCAGTGAAAGTGACCCGCTGCTGCCAGTGTTGAAATGGACCGCCTGCTGCTCTGCTGTGCTGACACAGAACCACAGAATCACAGAACTGAGTCGGAAGGAGACTTATCTAGTCCAACCCCCTGCAGTGAACAGGGGCACATGCAGCTAGAGCAGGTTGCTCGGAGTCCCAGCCAGCCTGATCTTGAATGCCTCAGGAGATGGGGCATCCACCACCTCTCTGGTCATAGAATCATTGAATCACAGAATGGCCTGGGTTGAAAAGGACCACACTGTTCATCCAGTTCCAACCCCCTGCTATGTGCAGGTCACCAACTAGCAGACCAGGCTGCCCAGAGCCACATCCAGCCTGGCCTTGAATGCCTGCAGGGATGGGGCATCCACAGCCTCCTTGGGCAACCTGTTCCAGTGCCTCACCACCTCTATGTGAAAAACTTCCTCGTAATATCCAACCTAAACCTCCCCTGTCTCAGTTTAAAACCATTCCCCCTTGTCCTATCACTATCCACCCTCATAAACAGCCGTTCCCCCTCCTGTTTATAAGCACCCTTCAAGTACTGGAAGGCCACAATGAGGTCTCCCCAGAGCCTTCTCTTCTCCAAGCTAAACAAGCCCAGTTCCCTCAACCTTTCTTCATAGGAGAGCTGCCCCAGCCCTCTGATCATCAACCTTCACTGTAAAAAAGTTTTTCCTTATACCCATTTGAAATCCCTCCTCTTTTAGCTTGAAACCATTTCTCCTTGTCCTCTCACAACAGGCCCTGCTAAAGAGTCTGTCCCTTTCTTTCTTATAGCCCCCCTTTCAATATTGACAGAATGCTATCAGAGCTCCCCAGATCCTTCTCTTCTCCAGGCTGAATAGCCCCAGCTGCCAATGGGTGCCATCTTCTCCAGATGGAGGAATTCAGTTCCACACCTTTGTTTCAGATACACTTCCATGTCAGATGCCACTTGGTCAGACTGCCTCCCCTGCTGCCATCTGTCACACGGCAACAAAATATAATGGAATTTTGGCAGGAAGGTTCAACCCCTAATGCCATACCACTAACATGCACCACTGACATCATGGGCCAACATAATAAAACAGGAGGCATTACTTTTAGAGCAGCTCTGGTATATGGCTGAATTTTTATTGGTATCTATTAGATATACATGAGAAAGAAAATTCCAGTAGGAACTTTTTTTCTAAGAGCTTCTGTTTGACTGCAGCTCTACCATTCCTTCCTTTTTCATAAAAAGCAACCATGTCAGCTGTGAAGAAGGATGCTGTCAATCAGTTTTCCTGGAACAGGCTCACACTATTCAGTCCAACATTTAACATTTTTATTGCCTCAGTGAGAAAGAAAATTTCAAGCAGTGAAAAAAATCCAATCATCTATTCAGAGAAGCAATAAGCCACCATTATTCAGCAGTATCATGGAGATGCCTCTGGAATGCAAAACCCATAGCTGTGAGAGCAGTGCTAGTCTGCCCTTTATTTAATGAACTGAGGATGAGTTCTAAGTCCTCCCATTTGTCTTCTCTTGCTTTATCTCATTTCTGCAAGAGATAATGGATAGGGTTGGGGGTTTTTTTGCCTTTTTTTCTTTTTTTTTTTTTAAATTACATTAAATATCATGAAAGTAAGTTGCAGAATAAAACCAATAAGAAACCATTCACTTGCCACCGCTGGATTGTTCCTTGTAGCTTATCTTTTGCTCCCTGAAGTATATATGATGGAACTTCTGTTGAAATAGAGGAACAATACGTAATTACATGCTTTATTGTTATAATTTGAACCTCTGGGTATTGTGTTAGCAATGAGATTTTCTCTGAGCGCTGTTCTTTTATAGTTCTTTTCAAAAAGACTATCTTCCTCTGATTTCTGGAGAATCTTAGTGACGACGAGCACAATCTCTGCTAAGTGCTGTTGGTTTAAACAGGCTGAACCAAATCACCAAGGTTAACGAAGGAGCATGATCAGGGGGCAGGCAGATGAGGATCGTTCATTTTTACCTCTTTAAATTTGCACTTGCTCTCAGGCAAGCCTTTGAACCATCTCTCTCGGGTTACCATAATACACATTTAACAGCAGGAGAGCGCGAGCAGCAGCAGCACAAACTCGATTTTGCTGACTGACGTTCAGCAAGCAGGGTGGATTAACATCACATCGGGCTCCAGCTCGGCCTGCCATGAGCCTGCACGGCCTCCACCCGAGACGAGGCAGGCTGTAAACACAGCTCTGTCACGGGGCTCTGAGTTAAAAGAGAGAAGAGCTCTCTCTCTCTCTCCCTTCTCTGCCCGCAGCAACCCTGATGAAATTTTCATAAAATATCCTGAAATTTTAATAAAACCAAGCACTTTTCCACGTGAGTCTCCCCTCCAACCCAGCACCGCCGGGGGACACAACGCGGCTGGGGGCAGGGCGAGGGGAAAGAGGGCGGCCCTGCCCCGCCTCCTCCCGCCGGGAGCTGCGGAAGCGCAGTCGGCTGAGGTCCGTCCCTCCGCTCTTCGGCACCGGGAGGCGGAGCGAGAGCCCGGCCTGGGCGGTATCCTCCGGAGCGGCCATCGCCGGGCTCCATGGAGAAGCGGGGCGCGCCGCCGGCCGCCCCTCCGCGGGGTCCCGTGCTGCACATCGTGGTGGTGGGCTTCCATCACAAGAAGGGTTGCCAGGTGAGGGCGCGGGTGCCGAGCCCCGGGATCCCGCCCCCGGTTCTGGGCTGGGCTGAGCCCCCGCCGCTGCGGGCTGTGGGGCGCCGGGGCCAGGCAGCGGCGTTCCGTGCGGGGCCGCCCGGAGGGGACGGGGCCGCCCGACAGCCGTGCACCGCCAGCGTCCCGTAGGCCCTCCGTGTCCTGCGTTTCGTAGGTGTTTTGTGCCCTCGTTGCGTTTCCTCCTTTGCTCTCCAACTGAATCTTGGCGAGGCTGTTGCAGGAACGATTTTTATTTATTTATTTATTTGAGGCTACGTGTATAAAACTGCATTTGATCCAATTCAAACTCCTTTTTTTTTCAAGTCTCACGCGAAGGAATACATCTGACGTTTAAACTTCTGCAGTCGTTGCACGTTCTATGACAGGGCAGTATCTAGAAACCTGAGGAGGTTGTGTTCTCTGCTTTGGAAAGCAGCGCTGTGCTCAGGAAAGCAAATAGTTTTCAAATGATGAATAACTTCTCATCACATGATTGCTAGTTTGTTTTTAAATGTCGTGGAACTCCAGGGTAACTCTGAATGCTTGGTCTTTTCATTCCTAAAGTGAAAGAAAACGCTAGGAATCAGATTTTGTTGCCCAGCTTGTCTCTAAATGTCACTGTTTTATTATACAGCAGATACTGTAATGTTGGGCTCGACCTGCAGTGAGTCTGCAAGACTAGCTGCCTTTCTTTAAGCAGATGGTTTTTTGGACTGGTCCGGTATACTTTGATTGCTGGAGAACTGAAGCAATCCTATTAAGGGAGCACTGCTGCAGCAACGTGCTTCAGCATTTCTAGGAGTTCTTTAGAGAGTGACAGAAGGCAGAGCGGTCTTTTCCATGGAGCTTTCTGTCCTTACAAACATTCCAAAAACATTATTTTGTGCTGTGTTCCTTATGTGAGAATTTATCCTGATGTGAACATTACATTTGTATAAGTTACCCAAGAGTTAAGTTAATGTTTGTTAATACTTCAGGAAATTAAACAAGCTCAGGATGTTAACATGTAAAACAAATTGTCATATCACAGAGGCTAAAGCTTAGGAGTGGTCATTCATTGTATGTGTTCTTAAATCCATTTTATCAAGAGATCTGCATGGTTTTGTAATGCATCTTTTCTTCTCGAGGCATCCAGCATCTGTTTGTGGGATCAGTTTCTAGATGTAATTAGATCACCTTGGGTTGCAAGGTTTGCAATATTTAGCAAGTTGCTTTCTTGCCAAATACTGCTAAGAGATGAAGTTCCATCGAGTGTCTTAGGAAGAACACCTATAAAGATGCCCTCACCCTTGTTGTGGCCACTTAGACAAAACATAGGTTGGAGACAAAAGTGGATGTGGCTTTCATTATATCTGAGTTTATACTACTTGTAATATTATGCAGATTGGACGCAATAGCCAACCAAAACTATAAATAATATTGAGTTTTACCTTGATGCCAGTAATATGGTTTTAGAAGTGATTTTTGAAGTGTTGTCAAAAAAAAAAAAAAAAAAAAAAAAAAAGGATGGGAAGAACTTCAAGTTTTCTTTTTTTTCCTATCTTGAGACATTAATTAGAGAATTTACAGAGGAAGGTAGTTTGGGAGGGAGAAGAAGTAGCAGTGTCACTGGAGTAAGAGCTGGGGGAATATAAATACGTTCTTTAGAGCTACCAACAGCCTGACTTTGTGAAGGAAAGCCAACTACAGCAGTCTTCAGACACATTAATATAAAAACTGGATGAGGGAAGTTGGTAACAGAATGGGAGGCTTATTTCTTTCAGTCATATGCAGATTATTTTAAACAAATCCTTTGTCATCTTTTTCAGTGAGAGTAATGATATCAACCATGAAAATAAAGATGGGATGGGGAGGCAAAGGCAGAAGTTCCATTGGCTTGATTTAAAAAATTCAGATAGCTCGTTTCAGAACTTAGGAAGAATTCATCCATGAAACTGGAGCCCTAAGAACAAGGCTTCTAAATGTGTTCTACCTCTGACTAAACAGATTTGTTACTGAAATACATAGAACGTGTCCAAAAAGAACTGGAGGCAGGGAGATGCACAGCCACAGCCTAATGAGCTTCATCAGTAGCATGCAAGGCTCTAGAGAATTTGTGAAGGAAAGAATTTAATTAACAATATGAAAATAAGTAGAGTGAGGCCTATGTGGATTCGCTAAAGATAGCTCATGCCTGACTGACCTGCATCTTTTATAAGAATTAATGATTGATTTAATTTATCTGTAAAAGAAATGTAGTAGCTCTAACCTGCCTTGAATTTGATCATGTATCTCGCAGTAAAACAAAATCTTTGTTGAAGTTGGAGATGCTGGAGAATTAGTACAAGAGCTAGAACTCGGGTAAGGACCAGTATGGAGAAGATAAAGCAACAACAGATTTGGAACTACTAGAGGAGGATAGAAGAGGAACTACTGATCTGAGAGGTGCTTGCGAGTGGTGTTTCTCAATTCTGAATTGGGTTTTTGTGAGTGGCTATGGCAGCACGTACTCACTCAAATCTAACACTGAGTACCGAACCTGGGGAGTCACTGGTACAAAGGAAGACTGGGATGTCATGCAATGATTGGATAACAGTGAATACTGTGATGGTGGAAAAGGGATGCATGATATGTAATAGAAATGAATAATAATGATGTATGCTTAGGAATTAACATTGGAAGACCTCTGGAAAAGGAAAAAAGACTGCATGTGATCCAGGGTAAGCCACAAAAGTGGAGTGATTTGGAGGAAAGTGTGCAACGTATGTTTTCCTGTAACATAACATTAATAGTATTAATATGTTTATCATTGTATAAACATTCTGATCCAACCTTTATACAAATGGATTCAGATTATCTCTGCCACTTCCAGAAATTGAAGTGATATCCCTTGAACTGTCTGCTTTAGAGAAGGAAAATGACTTGGAAGAGGCTAGGTAGGCTAATGAGGTCAGTTTTGAGGCTATAGTCAGATAAATGCTTTCAGTGACTTCAGTGAGTATGTGAGTATTCTGCCCTTTTTCTCTGCCACCTTTCCACTGCTGCAGAGGAGAAGCAGTTCTGTGGTGAACTGAAATGGGGAACTGAGGTGATGAAAAAATAAGCTTTGTTTCGGTAAGTTGGTTTTCTGCTAGGTTGGTTTTCTGCTAGTCAGTTCACTGATTCTGTTCAGAGTTTGTCTGCAGAAGACAGCTCTGCTGATGATCTGAGACTTCTCTTTTGATAATGTTTGCTAATGGTATTTGAAGTAGTCATTGAATCACTGCATTACACGTGATTGTATTCCAGGAGAATGTCAGAAAGTGAAAAATAAGGAGGAAAAATATTTATTTGATCTAAAAGACAGTGCTGGCACAAGAACAAATGGATTTGAACTGGACAAGCTATAGATTAGGTATGATAAATGAATTATAGAAAAGCAAAGTTATAATGCAGCTTTCGAATGAGAGTAATACAGTCTGAACTTAGTGAATTTAAGAATGAGCGATCATATAGCCTGTAATAACAGCAATTAAAGTTGTGATGTTTGGGCTTATTTTTGTGTGTTGTTGGTTTGTTGTTGGCTTTTTTTCCCTGAGAAGGCTCCTTTCACTTCTTTGTTTCCATCTGTGTTCTCTCAGTAGCGTTACCAAGAAATGCATACAGAGTTAGGCATTTTGACAGATTACTTGATCATAGGTGTCTTCATCACCTGACTTCTTCAGAAACTATCTCTTGAATAGAATGGGGTAGTAATATAAACATGGTGTAAAGCTGCTATGTATATAGAGATGTGTAACTTGACAACAAGCTCTGACATTGTGGTCTCTGCTGTTGCTAACAAGTAACTAGGTTCTTAGGCATTCTTAGGCAAGTATTGTTCTGGTTAGATTTTGACTGTCTGAAGTGTGCAGCTATTCCTGTTGTTTAACTTACAGGTTAAGCTTCTCTAGTACTTACCTATGCAACAAAACATTTTGTGTGATGTGGAAATGTATTAGAACATCTTTTTCTTGCATAGGCTTGAAAAAAATCTGGATACGTTTGTTTTAAAAAAGAGTGAAATCGAAGGAATTTGTCCATTTCCATGTGTCCCTTGATTCATAGTCCAAACATGACATTCTTTCTGCATGCCCCTTCCAAGGACACGTTGTTATACTGTGGGTCTGATTTCCCTTTGAAGCACGGTTATGTAAGAAATTTGAGGTTTACCATACATACCTTTAGTCTGAGTTCTTAGTATCCTGTGTAATTGTTAAAGTTGGAGTTGCTCCTCACTGTGAAGATGGCTTTGTGCTGTGTAAGAGTTATGTATTGCATTTTTAAAGTTTAAAAAAAAAAAAAAAATCCATTTTAAGAAGTTTTCTCAGCAAAGTATTGAGTGAGCTTTTGGAGAAGCTGTGTGCTTTTGTTTGGTTTTGCTAGCAAGCCCCTAAATTCCTCATTTGGTCCTATTAGCTATTGGTCCTATTAGCTATTGAATTATACTGTGTTACCAGGGAAATATTCCAAAAGTGCTGTTTGCTCATCATTTTGCCAAAAGGAAGATGGAGTTATGGCAGTATGCTTATAGAATGGGAGGAGAAGCTTGGCTGTAATGTAGATCCTTATAGTATTTGACATGCTCTCATCCAGCCCATTAAAGAAGGGAATGATAATTCGCTTGAAGCATGCATTATGATGAGTTTCTTCCCTTTGTAAGTACAGGCTGACTTGTTATGGGAACCCTTGTCAGTACTTGTTTAAATAAAAGCAGAAATCTTGAAATGTGCAGAGATCTTGTGTAGTATTCAGTTGTGAGTTTCATTTCTCTAAAATGAAATGAGTGATTGATTTAAAAAGTAGTCCTAAGAAGTTGCTTTATTGATACCTGTTCAGTACTGGTAAGAGTAGTTACATCCATTCATTGCATGTAGTTGCTCACTGTCATCACAAAAACACTCTATTTTGATTTGATAGTAGTTTCTGCTCGGCTTCTTGAGTTATACAGGATGCAAATGAATTGAGCCCTGTGGAGGAAAACTTTGCTTCATTGACACAGATACCAGGTCATGGTGATCCCACAAAAAGGTGCTAGCTATATTTCTTTCCTTCTTAGCCTTTCATGTCTTAATAGCAGTTTGTGCTTGATTAGATTGGTTTGTTTAGTTTACTACTTAAATCATACTGGAAAAATGAGGAAATTATCTGAAGATCCAATAAAAATGAGTGGAATGCTATATATATTTTTGCAAGCCAACAAATCTAGAGCCAGAAATGGCAAAATTAGTAACAGTTAAGACAAAAAGATTAAATTCCTCATTTGTCTGCTCAGATCATCTTCACTTCTCAGCTCCTTATTACACAACATGTATCCTTCACGTGTGTGGTATAGTTCCTAGCTATAAGAACACAGAGCAAGCAAGATGTCTCAAGATGATTTGTAGAAAACGCCGTACAGACAAAAGTGGGCTCACAGTATTTGATTATTGGCTTCGTACTGTCTCAGCTGTAATAGCTTTAGCCCACAATAAAGTAGTAATCTGTAGATCTTCCAGTAGAGGGTTTGCCACTGACACAAACCTGGAAGACATGACACTATGTTCCTTACCTGATTAAGTTGTCTGATTAACAAAAATACTTGTCTAAATGGCCTATGAAATTCAAGTGTAAACGGGGGTAAAGGTGGGAAAGGACTTGAGAGAGAGAGAAATCCTTAAAATTGATCATCATTTGAACGTAAACTGATTATTTCTAGAGAGCCAGACTGAAGCAGTGTAATTGGTTTCAGAGCATCTGTAGCTCTTTGGTTCATTAGCTGTTGCTGCAAGGAAGCAGTCCAGGTCACTGGCTCTTGGTTAGCTCTGGTGATTTCCTACTTCAGTGTAGGATTGTTAGACCTAGATTTCAGGACTATTCATGCCATTTTTTCTGGAGCAATTGGTACTGAGTTCATTGGTAGTTTTCAGGAGCTGAAGTGATGGCTATTGATTCGATAGGAAATAAAGGGAAAGGGCTCTGTTACAGTCAGAGATAAAGAACTCGATTTGCCGTTACGCGTCTTCAGTTTTTTGAAAGCAACACAGTGTAAAAAATTCTTATTTGTCATATGATAGAAGTCCTTTGTAAAAATCTAATCTGAACAGAAATTGGTGCACGTTGTGTTGAAGAACATAGAGAGAAGTGAGGTGTAATTCTCTGCTGGAACTCCTCTGTGCTAGGCAGTTTGTTTGAGCTCTCTGCATCTTAAGTCTTATTTATGTAAGGCAAGGCAGAGAGATAAGGCTGGTGATGCAGGAAGGCTTAAAATATGCTAGTACTGTAACAGAATGATTCATTTTGATGGCAAAGTTAAAATGAAAAGTGGTTCTTTTTAAAAGGAGAGGAAGAAAAAATGATTTCAGCAAAGCTGGAAGTACTTGAAGGAAGGAGTTGCACACAAGTCGCTGTTAGCCCACTGAAAAGTTTTAAGGTCCCTCTACTACTGCACTACCGAATCTGGGGTAAGAAACCTGATCCTCTATTTCTGCTACAAGGCCATGAACTTGTTAAATGTCTGTAAATTGGTCTCCACCTGTAGTGAAGCCCATAGGCTCCACTGTCACCAGTTATGGCCTGGTTATCTACCTTCTTATTTATGAAGCAGTAAGGCAAAACCAGGCTTTTCTGCACATAGTGTCCTGGGCAGTTCTGCAAGTCACATCTGTCCTTGTGCAATGAGTGAACATGGCCTAGAGTATACTCTGGAATGTTTCAATATGTTCCAAATTGCCCTTTGTTTACTTAAACATACAGATTTCTAACTGTGCTGCAGAGAAGTACTGTGTATGTCTTGGACTGATCGTGCTACCAGTCACTTTTGTTTGCTTGGGATCTCTGTTCTGTAAAGTCAGTAGGTCAGCATAAGCTGCCATTTTCTGTACACCGTGGGGAATAGCTTCTTTATGTCACTTAGTGGCAGACTGCTGTAAATACAGAAATGCATATGCTCTTGGAATCCCAGTGTTTGTCTGAAAGACCTTTGAAATACTTTTGAGTATTTTAACATCTTCATGTAAACCCAATGTTTGCTTTCTTCTGAGTATTGTGTGACTTGCATGTTTGTGTGAGTGGTTTTGTGTGGACTGTTTGAAGATCATTCTTCCTGTCTTGACTGGCTGTAAATTCTATTCTTGGTGTGCAAATAAATGAAACAACTGATATGTTTTTTTTTTTTTAAAGGAATGTGAATATATTTTGATATTGTAGAGAGAACAAGATGATGATTTCTTACTTTCTCAAATTATGTATGTACTCATCCTGTCATTTGAGAGCTTCAAATACTTTAGCTGTGGAAGGTAATGCTTATTGTGATCTGCAGAAATCAGCAAGTGCAGTGGCCTGAGCAATCAGTGCATGTGGCCTGTTTATACTTTTGTCTAGAGAGCATACGAGAGGTCAGGTGAATATCATCAGAATTTTTGGCATGTTATATTTGAAGTTGTTTG